TTTTTTTTTTTTTTTTTCATTTTGCTTAACAAAGATGGTTGATTTGCTGTATTTGCCAAATTTTATCAAACTAACCTAAAAGTTAACTGCTCACATCACCCTGATTTCAACTTACATTTAGAATTCTTTTAGGAGCATAACATGTCTGAGGCAAAAATAAGCTAGACAATTCTTTCCAATTGTTAAATATTGACAAAGAGATATGAGCAGTCAGTTTCTATTTTTTTCAGTACTTTTGAGTAAGGGAGGTAATTATGTTAATTTGTATGACAGAAAACATTAAATCATGTGGGTACATGTCTAATACTAGAAAATCAGCATAGGATAAACCTGTTGTGGGCACAGATCAAATAGATATTAACATTTCTCTCAAAAAATAGAGGAATCCAAAACCTAAATGATGAGTTATTTCTTGGTAGCTACAACTTAGCCACATCCAGGTAAAAAAAGCTGTGGATTGTCAGTTTTAAAGGAGTAGCCTTGCAACATAATCCACACTTGCAATGAAACTTGCTCTTTGTGTGTCTCATTTCCCAACAGCTGTGATTGTCAGAGAGCTGTGGAGAGGCTCAGAATAATGAATCCAAAGCCGCTGGTTCAGATTTGCTTCACTCGTTCTGCAAATAGTTGAGGGATTTCCCTCTTGAATAGTGGTAATTTTAAAAAATATGAGGAGGATGCAACTTGCATATTCTCTGAGCTGGTGTAAGAAAAGTACTTCTATTCTTGACAGGTGTAAGTAATTAGGCTATGACCAGTAAAGAGGCATCATTAGCGCTATCTCCTAAACAGGTTAAAGGTGGTTGCACTGTGTAGCTGCTGTGGAGTTGTTTGCTTGTTTGATTTCCTTTTTCTCATTATTTCCTATTCGGCAAGGAAACTGCGGCACAGTGAGGTTCTTTTAGGTCAGAAAATTAATCTGTTTTAAAATAAGAAATATGATCTAGTTGTGGGATGTCTTATGTTTTGCTGCCCTTTTTTAGATCTGTATTGCTACCTATTTTATTGCAGGGTTTTCAGATTTCTGTGCTAGTGGAGGAAATGAAACATAGTTGGCAAGAATCATCAGTTTTAGTACAGTGAATTTTAGAGATAATTTGGAAGCGGGACAGTTAACATTGCTTTCTTTTTAACTCTACCCTCCTTTCTTGTATTTCTTAATGTATATTTCAAAAGATCAAGGAATTTTTTTATATATTGAATTTTAAAATCTGTATCTTCTCTTCAAATTCAGAGCTGAAATCTACAGTCCTAGAAACAGAGAAGCCATGCACAGATGGTATTCAGCGGGCACAGGTGAGATTCTAACAGAAATGTTTTGTTATTTTTTTAAAAGAGTGCAAAAAGCAGTACTTCTTTTCAGGCTTTTTGAAATAGTGCTGTGTACTGAATGTTCTAAATGAAAAAATTCTGAAGTGAGGGGTTTTTTTATATGCTCCATAGTATGTCTAGGTATAAAAATTGAAGCTTCCTGCCTGCCTAAGATGATTCTTAAGAAATGTTATTATTCATTCAAAAGTTAGTTAACTCTCTAATGGCATTGCTAATGAAGAGCTATAAAAGATCTGGTTATAACAGCTCATCTACAAAAGCTGATATAAATGACAGTGACAGGGACTTTTTTTTTACTCTCTCCTCAACCTTATGGCAGTGGTAAGTGAACAGGTTTAGAGGGCCATGCTGGACTTAAAAAGGAAATTATGTAATACTGAGTCAGGGGAGACAGTCTGGCTTGGAATTGTACCACATAAACACAGTGTAGCTTATTTTTATTACATGTCACCATATATGTTCTATTCTTCATTAAAGGCGGTGCATTGATGGGGCTGAAGAACTCCAAATTTTGTTTCCTCAAAATGTTGGCTGACAGACTTATTTTACCAGTGAATGAGATTATTCAGTTGTTTTGGAAGTCATTAGAAGGAAGGCAAAGTTCTGAAATCTTCATTTGAAACAAATAGTGACCAAAAGCTCTTGAAATCTCTTTTCTTTGTCCTTTGTTTCCTAGCTTGTTCCCCTTCTTGTTTCCCCTTTGGGTTTGGTTTTTTGGTTGTTTGTTTGGGTTTTTCTTTTCTTTGTTTTGTTTTTTGTTTTGTTTGTGGGGGGTTTTAAATTATTTTGATTTGTTGGGAATTTTTTGTGGGATTTGGTTTTTTTTTTTTTGTTTTTGTGGGGCTTTTTGTGTTGATGATAAGACAATTCAAGCATCACTGCATTGTGCAGCATTTGTGAAAAGGGTCAGTGATTTGCTTTTCAGGGAAAAGTAAGGAATGTCTAGTGAAATACATACTTTCATTAGCCTTGCAAGTTAAACTTGAGCTTGGATCACAAATTTTGTGAGTCACAGATGGGGAGAGTAGATATATTAACTTTATGACTTCTCTCTTGCCAAACTACTTTAAAATAGTTCTTCTAGTGGGTTACTTAGATTCTTATACCTTTGTAATATGGAACATTTTAAAACTACAGCACACTAATTAAAATAGCATTACAAAATTATTCTACACTACATTGAAGTATTTGAAGTTTTATCTAGAATATGTTTGTCCCATGCAATTGCTTTATTTTAGTTGCCCAGGTTTCACTAGCAATGGTTTCTAGTATTCATTGTGGAAAAGTACTTTTTCCCTATGCTTGCAGAAAGTTATTGTATGTAAGGAGCATATTCAATCTGTCTTTAGTATTTTAATTCATTGCAAGAAATTACCAATGTAAATGGTTTTCTAACTGAAATGTAATTAATTGAAATAGTTTTATGAAGAATTACGTATTTTACCTATTAAAATAAGTATTATGAGAATTACTATGAGAATGAAGTTTATCCAGAGCACTGCGTGATCACTTGAATGAATAGCATTTACTTATGGGTAGGAGGTCTTTTTTTTTATTTTTAGAATTAGCCTATTATGTTGTCCAACTACTGAATTCCATTTGCTGGTGTTTAGGAAATGCCTATCCCTCTTGTTTAGTCATGATCTCTTGCAACAGTAATGTGAACTTCTATTCTATACTATTATTCATCAGTAAACTGCAGAATTAACAGGATCACCTCACTTGCAGGAAGTCACCTCAAGTTTTTCCTGTATTATGTCATCAGCATTCTGATTTATTTTGAAAATTGAAGTGGAAGGTTTTTAATTTGAGGAACTGTGTGTGGATAATATGTTGCCATTTGTTTAAATTGTTTCTGTAGTGTCCCAAGCAGTTGACATATTCTACCTATCCATCAGAGTCTAACTATATCAAGCTATAAAAACATCTAGAAAGCAGAATGGCCATCATGTTTGTAGGTAAATCCTTTATTGCAATCAGATCAGTCTTGGTGTTATTTGTACATTTTTAAAGTAATGAAATACTATGCCATGTTTCTATCAGAATCTAACCTCTTTTGTTATTTGTCAAGCTTGTCCATAGTTTTAATTTCTGAAAAAAAGCAAGCATTTGCTGAAGTTAGCCTAGTAGCTGATTTTTCCCTTTTTCTTTTCATACATAGAGACCACTAGTGTAAAATTTGAAATTGATTAACTAAGTCTACTTACAGCCTTCTTCCTCTCCTTTCTCTAGGAAAAGACACTTTTCATGTGTAACTAAAGAAATAAAACATTAATAGCCAGAACACATTTGTAACATGATGTGCTGGTAAATTATCAGACTTATGATAACCAGTTAGCTAAAATATTCAGAATAATTTTAAATTAAAAACACAAGTAATACAGCCTGAATGCTATACTTGTCACTTGAAGGGTTTTTAAATATGTATATCCTCTCCATTTCCCTGTCTTTAAAACATTAGATGTAATCTGCATGTTTTGCAGCATAATTTCTGAAAGATTTTTTAAGTGTTTTTTTGAGTCCAATTTTTGAGTCTAGTTTTTCAAAATTACAGCTAAAAAGATAAGAGGACATGGGGGTGTGCTTGCTTTTAGTACAGGAATTTTTAAGTGGTGGAAAAATAAGAAAAATTGGCAGCCATTTCAAGTCCTGGTTTTGAAATGCCAAATAGCAACGATGTCTGCTTAGTTCTCCCAGTGAGAACAGAGAAAGTTTTGTTAGGATTAACTCCTTTAGTGAAGGAAGAAGAGAGAATTGAATGTCCTAATTTAGAAAGCCCAGCTTCAAACTGGATCTTTAAATTTGACAGCCATACTTTGTGCAAGAGCAAATTTCTGTTCTGTTTGTACCCCTAATTTTTTGTACTATCCCAGCAATTTTTCTTACATTTTAACTCACTTTTCAGAGTAGCTTGATTTTGTTTATGTGGTAGGTAAAAATAGACTCTTAGCAAAGAGAAGAAGAAGAAAAAAATAACCGTCCTTTAATTGTAAAGTGAATACATGAAAACCAGGCTTTGGTTAGCAGTGGAACATCACAGAGCAAGAAATTTAAATTTGTCTGAAAGGCACTTATGGTGTTGTCCTATACACCTTTTTATAAAATTATTTTAGATTTATGTTTCTTATTATTTATGATGAGAGTCTATTCTGTATACCACGCGAATTTAAAACCAAAGTCTTTATTACATTTCTTTGATTGTCAGCATCCAGGTGTAATGAATTCTTTTTCATACCACTGATGATGCCTGGTCCCTGTAATCCCATCTCAGGAGAGTAGGTTTTGCCAGATTGTTGCAGTCTCAAGGAGCTTGGTTGTAAGATAGTTTACACTGACTATTTGAACTATATTTACATCACAAAGGCTTGTCATCAAAAAATTCTTATGCTCGTAATATTTCCATCACAGTTGTTCAGTTTGGTTTGGTTCACCACATTTTACCCAACAAATAAATCTTCAACCAAAATTATATGGCTTTTTGGAATGCCATATACTTCCACTGGTACTAAAAACCAGACCAAATGTTGGAAGTTTTGAGGTGCTGAAGACAGATTTCTACTGCATGATCTATTGCTGCACTTTCCAGCAATATCATAGAGAAATAATAATAATCTTAAAAACCTTAAAATACAAGCCAGGTTCTGCCACGTTGATGATACTTCCTGCTTTATAAAAACAGAGGAGTGTGTCTTTAGAGTATTCCTAACCGCCACACTTTACTGGTGTGGTCCTCTCTCAGCAAGGACCTTTCTTCTTAATCTAGTTTTTAACTATGAGTTATAATAACTCCTTAGGGTGATGCCTTTGGAAATGTTTCAATTTTGACACTTAGTAATACAGGAAAAAAGGCTATGAAATCCTTTAAGATAAATACATAATCAGTCTATTTAGAAAGTGTAAAACATTGCTGGGACTGGAATTTACTTTTCATTATTATAAAATGTCACCACTAGAATTTGTCTCAGAAACATGCATGCTGCCTGAAACTCTCTCCTAAAAGAAATTTCAGGAATTATTCTTTATAGGTGAAGGTAAGGTAAAGAAGGCAGATGAAAATTTAGTCTGAAATGGTGAAATACAAAATACAAAAAAGAACTTTTAAAAAAGGGAGATTTGATATACCTACTTTAGACTATTATGACACTTGGAGTCTGGTATAAAACCTGTTCTATTTTGGTATTACACAATTTTCATCAGCACACAGAACAGCTGTAGATAAGACTAGTGAATGACTGGCTTCCACAGGAATTGGAGGGAAAATGGGAGCTCTTCTTTTATGGGTTCATAAACTGCACTGTGGCTGCAGCTCTTTTAAYACTGCTTGATTTTGCATGTTCTTTGTGGAGACAATTATTAAGAAAAATGGGAAGTGTCACTCCCCTTCCATCAATTTGCTGTTTCACAGGTTACTTTTTGTAAGGGGGAAGGGAAGGCTTGCAGAAGCAATGAATGGTTACTCTAAAACAATTCTTTTCCTACAAAGATATGACTACCAATATCTTAGATTTCAGCAGGGAAAAGTAAGTTACATACCTGGTGAAAAAAAAGCCAACCAATAAAAATATATGACATATTAAAAAATATATGACATATTCTATACAGTTTTCTCATTGAGGAAATAAAGGATTATGAAAGAAGCAAGTATTTTTTTAAGTTTTCATATTAATCAAATAATAGTGAATAGAATAGAATATCTTCTTTTAAGAACTGTATCAATGTAAACTTTCTGCAAAATCATGCTAGCATACCCAAATTTCAGAAGACAAGAAGTTAAAAACATTCAGAAGTATGTATCTATATATATGTTTTATCTGCAAAGTAAAAACTCAGATTTTTAATATGTGATGTAGAGGAACTTATATTCTAATTGTAGGTCTGATGTCAGAATTGGGATATCTTAGATTTAGGCAGACGAATATCAAGAAGAGCATATGTAGGAAGATAGAGTTTTCTCATTAGAATTC